TATAGTGCCCAATTGCAAAGGTTAGCCCGAGCTTTAAGAGAAAAAGAACCCGCGCTGATTAATCGGAAGGGTGTAATTCTTCACCACGATAACGCATGACCGCATACTGCAAGAATCACTGCTGAAAAACTGCACCAGTTGGAATGGGAAGTTCTCCCTCAACCTGCATATTCTCCTGATATTGTCCCTTCCGATTACCATTTGTTTCGTTCTTTGCAAAACTTTCTTCTTGGAAAAAAATTTAATAATGAAGAATGCCTCAAAAATGCATTGACCGAATTTTTTGCATCAAAATCACAAGAATTTTACAACAGAGGGATTAAAATGCTTCCTGAGTGTTGGGCACAAGTAGTAGAAAACAACGGCAACTATATTGTTGATTAAATTTTGTTGTATTGTTTAAATAAATTCGATTTAAAAAAAGTATTAGAAAACGACATTAATTATTACTAGACCTAATAGGAGTAGGAGGATGGGCCAGCAAGAGAACAGTGAGGGTATCTGCCACAAACTGGCAGGTAAGCTAAGCCAAAGCCTTTGATTAAAGGGTCAAGAGACCCCTGACTATGTCTTTTAAATTTCTAGTGTAACTTTGCCCAAGTGACTCAACTTCTCTCTGTGCCTATTTGCTCATCCAGAAAAAATAGTAATAATAGTACCCACCAACCAGCCAGCGTGGCTCAGTAGTTGAGCATTGACCTATGTTCATGGTTTGATTCTGGATCAGGACATATGCCCTGCTTGTGGGCTGAGTCCCCAGGATGGGGCATAGCCGATTAATGATTCTCTCTCATCATTGATGTTTCTATCTCTTTCTCCTTCTTCCTTCCTCTCTGAAATCAATAAAAATATTTTTAAAAATAGTGTCCACCATATAGGGTAGCTGTGAGGATACATGGTTGGCATATAATAAGTGCTCAGTAAGTCTAAGCTCTTGCTGCCACTTTTATATTACTAGAGGCCTGATGCATGAAATTCATGCAAGAGTAGGCCTTTCTTCCCCTGACTGCTGGCACCAGCTTCCTTCTGCTACCCGGGTGGGACCCAGACTTCCCCTGCAGCCCGGCTTTGTCTGGAAGGTTGTCAGGTCTAATTAGCATATTATACTTTTATTATTATAGATTATTGAAGCAGCAGTATATATAGTAGAGTGGTTAAGAACACAGGTCAAACCAATACCCGTTTGGCTCAGTGGAGAGAGCGTCAGCCTGCGGACTGAAAGGTCCCAGGTTCGATTCCGGTCAAGGGCATGTACCTGGGTTGTGGGCACATCCCCAGTATGGGGTGTGCAGGAGGCAGCTGGTCGATGTTTCTATCTCTCTATCCTTCTTACTTCCTCTCTGTAAAAACTCAATAAAAAAAAAATTTAATTAAAAAAAAAAAAAAAAGAACACAGGTCAAGAAATCAGAACCGAAAATCCAAGATGGCTGCACAGGTAAACACCTAGCCGCAGCCGCACAAAACAATTTCAATAAAATACAACTAAAATATAAAATGGACATTACCCAGAACTACAGGAAAGTCGACTGACTGGAAATTCTACGAGAAGCAAGGAGAAAACCAGAAGGAAGCGTGGAGGAGCTGTAAAAGCCTAAGGTACGGAGACACACGGTGCGCGCGGAGAGGACGGAGCGGAGAGAAGGGGCGGCTGATTGCCTGGTTGGCGTTCCCTAGTGGGAAGGAGATAAAAGCTCCGACTGTGCTAGGCCCCAGTTCCGACTGCCCTGAACCCCAGTTCTAGGCCAGACCCCGGGGAACCAGGCTCATCCATGGGGAGCTAGGCTGTAAGGTGGAACCCCAGGGAAGCGGTGAAAGAAGGTCCCAGAGGCGCACACATTGCACGCAGAGAAGGGACGGTTGGCTGTGCCGCAGGACTGCCCTGACGGGAAGGAGACTGGGGCTCCAGACTGTTCTGAACGCCACCTCCAATCCCACTTCCAACTGAACTGAACCCCAGTTCCAGGCTCATTGGGGGAGAGCCTAGACTGTTTGGTAATAGGCGAAAATCCAGGGCACCTTTCTCTCAGAGGTGTGTGCAGCGAGTACTGAAGGACCCTGAGACTCAGGAGCCGCATAGGGCGGGGCTGACAGAAGCCAAGGCTGTAGGCTCCACCCTGAAACCCCGCCCCATCAGGGAAGCTGCGAAAATGCGACAACGAAATAGATCACAAAAGAAAAATGGAGGACAAAAAGCGACTAAATATAGAGTTCAAATCTATGCTTATAAGGTTTTTCAAGAATTTCCTAGAAAAAGTCGATAAGACCTATGAGAATATGAAAAGGGATCAACTAGAATAAGGAATCAACGAGAAATGATAAGGGATCAACAAGAAATAAAGAATACATTGTCTGAAACAAAAAAGATTATAAAGAGTCCTAAAAACAGAATGGAAGATCACAAGAATCAAGTCAACGATTTGGAACATAAAGAGCCAGAAGACACTCCTCCGCAAAAGCAAGAAGGCAAGAGAATCCAGAAAGTTGAGGATAATGTAAGAAACCTCTGGGACAACTTCAAGCGAAGCAACATCAGAATTATGGGGGTCCCAGAAGATGAGAGAGAGCAAGATATACTGCTCAAAACATACTGAAAGAAATAGTGACAGAAAACTTCCCCTACCTGGTGAAAGAATTAGACTTACAAGCCCAGGAAGCGCACAGAACTCCAAACAAAAGGAATCCAAAGACACATCATAATTAAAATTCCAAGAGCAAAAGACAAAGAGAGAATATTAAAAGCAGCAAGAGAAAAGCAGGTAGTTACCTATAAAGGAGCACCTATACGATTGTCAGCTGATTTCTCAACAGAAACCATGCAGGCCAGACAAGAATGGCAAGAAATATTCAAGGTGATGAATATAGCAAGAACCTACAGCCAAAGATAATCTATCCAGCAAAGCTATCACTCAGAATCGAAGGCCAGATAGAGAGCTTCACTAATAAAAAAAGCTAAAGGAGTTCATCACCACCAAACCAGAATTATATGAATTGCTGAAGGGGGTTCTTTCAGAAGAGAAAGTAAATAAAAATAAAAATTATGAACAACAAATATGTAACTATCAACAAGTGAATCTAAAAACCAAGGAAATTAAAAAAAAAATCTGATGAACAATATTAACTGGTGAATATAATAGAATCAGAGGTATGGAAGGGGAGTGAACTGACCATTCTTGGGAAAAAGGGGAGAGGGGAGTGTGGGAAGACACTGAACATAAACTGTGCACCTATGGATGAGGACAATGGGGGGTGGGGAAAGGGTAAAGGGTGGAATGGGAATCTGGTGGAGGAGAGCAATGGAGGGGGGGGGAGGGGAAGGAACATTTATAATAACATGAACAATAAAAACGTATTTAAAAAAAAAATAAAGAAATCAGAACCTCTGTGATCAAATCCTGGCTTTCCCACTTATCAGCCATGTGAACCTGGGCAAGCTATGTTATTTTCTGGGCTTCAGTTTCTTTATCAGTAAGAGATGTTTAAGTGCTCATGGAGAGAAACCAGACAAGACAGGGTTGGAAATCCAGCAGAGGCATGTAGTATACTACGTATATAGTACTGCAGATCTATCTTGTCAGAGTGTTGGTGAGAACTTAGTATCATTTAAAATAAATGCTTAAAAAATAAAATAAATGCTTAAACTATTTTAAATATTTACTGTTTTTAGAAAAATGCATTATATAAATAACATAAATTAGGTGAGACTATGTTAAAATATCAACTACAACATATTTCATTGCATATTATATTAATATCAAGTTTTTTCTTTTCTTTTTCTTTTCCTTTAAAGTTCTCTTTTAGGAAAGTGTTTATTTACTACGGAAATTTTCAAGCATCACAAAAGAGAAATACTGTTATGAAACCCCGTTATAGTTACAAAAATGTTACCATTCTTGCTTTCATCTTCTCATTCTTTTTGTTTTAGTCTTGCTTGAGAATTTTAAAGCAAATCGCAGTCCTTATTCCGCTTGCAAAGACTTGAGATATGTATTTCTGATAGAGACACCAGCAAGATTCACAGTTTTCTGGGTGCCCCTTGACTCCCGAGCTCCCGGCCTATTGGCTGCCCCTAACTCGCCTCCTCTCTCTGCAGGTGAACTGCCCAGGGTTGTGGGGTGGTGGTGCACGCTAGGCGGAGGCCTCCTGGCTTACCATGGAGGGGATCCCTCGCTCTGGGTGGTGTTGGAATCTTAGGGGGCTGTGGGCCTATGGGCTTCCCCCGCGCTACCAGGGCGCCTCCTGGCTGCGTGCGTGACTACAACGAAACTGCAGCGGCCGATCTGTTACTCCCAGGACTTTGGGGTGCCTGGCTAGTTGACATGCTCCAGACGTGACGGGGCTTCAACAGCTGGTGAGGACCCTCCTCGTGCCTGGTGACCCGTCGTCCTTCCAGGCCGGGGCTGCCGTCATCCCAACTCCGCGCCACAGGCTGCCTTAGGCGGCTGGGAGCCAACACCTCTCTGCTTGTCTTCCCACGTCCCCGGGAAGCTGGCCTTGCCCTCCGTGCCCCACACTAACTGCGTGACCACGTTTCTCTGCACGTCCCCAGGGCTGGGACCAGAGACGCACGGAGACTAACAGCGATGACCAAAAAAATGGTAGTGCCTGTTTTCTCTCCCAGCGCCCCTGCGACCGGAGGAGAGGACGGACAAGTGTCCTAACCTCTAATCCTCCTCTGCCAGGACTCAGGAATTCAGGTCAGAACCCCCAGTTGCCTAGGCCCTTCTCTTCCGGGTCCTATGAACTGCGGTGTCCTCAAGGACACTTACTCCCTGAGGGCCACGCTAGCAAACCGGAAGTCCCGGCCCTTCGCGCAACATTGTGACGCAATCGCAGCGACAGCCAATGAGGCGCGACAGCGCCGGAGAGCGGGAGGCTGGGGGCGGAGGTTTTAGAGAGCGGAGCGGAAGTGCCTATTGCCTAGCACCCGGTGTCTGCCAACCGGGAGGCCTCTCCACTGTTCTGGGCCGTTGCCTGCGCGCGCCCGCGGTCCGGCTCTGCCATGAGCCGGCCCAGCCGACTGCAGAGGCAGGTTCTTAGCCTGTACCGCGAACTGCTGCGCGCCGGGCGCGGGAAGCCGGGGGCCGAGGCGCGGGTGCGGGCCGAGTTTCGGCAGCACGCCTGCCTGCCGCGCTCCGACGTCCTGCGCATCGAATACCTGTACCGCCGCGGGAGGCGCCAGCTCCAGCTGCTACGCTCCGGCCACGCCAAGACCCTGGACGCCTTCGAGCGCCGGCAGGGCGCGAACGAGGAGCCAGGCGAAGCGGGGGCCTCTACGACTCGGCCTCAGGAGAATGACGATTCGAGGAACCCTCTCGAATGGAGTCACCGGAAATCCCGCCGGATGGACGGTGACAGGCCGAAGAGCTCAGATGGAGCAGGGGAACGGTGGGGCGGGATCGCTTGACTGCGTGTGTGGTGGGACCAGGGAACCCGCATGGTGGAAAGTGAGAGGTCTTGAGAGACTAGCTCGATGAATTGGGGGAATCGGAGAGCCGTCCTGGCGATGTAGGGTCTAAAGACCACCATGACGGATGGCAAGATATGCTTGCCCTTGTACCATTCATAGTCACTTGTCTACCCCTTCATGAGAGCTTGGGGCGGGCTGTTTCGCCAGCTGGCTGGACTGTGTTAAGTGAGAGCTACTGCTAGAAGGCATGGGGAGCCAGGATGCCCCCTCCCCGCCCCTTTGGACCGAAAGAGACTGAAACACCCTTCTCTTCACCTCTGGCTTCTGAACTCCCCTCTTTGTATTTCATTCTGTTTTTGTGTTTGTTTTTGCTGAGGAATTTGAGAAGATGCCCTGATGGACGACGGTGAAAAGCCCCATATCCCTTTGGAAAACTTTCCTCCCACTAATTACAGAAAACTAGGACTGGTGAGGAAGGGAGTAGGGGTCTCATCCCAGCTGACCATTTGTAGACCCCTCAGGACCTCCACACTTACTGTTTCTGAGGGCGAGCCCTGACTCCTTTACCCTTCCACCCTCAGGACTTCAAACAAATGGAATAAAGTTGGGGATGTGTTTACTTTCTGTTGGTGTAAAGATTAAAGATTATATGTGTTTGGGAATATTTGAAGAGGCACACACACCAAGAAGTGACTCTCAACCCTTAACACAGTTCTTCATGTTGTGGTGACCCCTAAAGACCCACAGGTTGAGAACTGCTAGTAGGGTCGCCTGAGACCATTGGAAAAAACAGATATTTACATTACGATTCATTAACAGTAGCAAAATTACAGTTATGAAGTAGCAACAAAAATAACTTTATGGTTGTGGTTCACCACAACATGAACTGTATTAAAGGGTCACGGCATTAGGAAGGTTGAGAGCCACTGTTCTAGGAGGAATGGGTGTTCGGACCTGTCTTCCCCTCTGGAGCCCTGTAGATTGGCAGATTGGTTGAAACAGCATTGATCTCTCTCCTGAGCAGATCCATAAGAGACACCAAAAAAATCCCAGTTGACTCTTTAATGAAGAGGCAAGAGAAAGGATGGTAGAGCTGAGGTCTGGCTGGTAACCCCTCAGGAAATTGTGAGGGGTCTTAAGCCTGATTGAGGAATCTGGCCTCAAGACTCCTTGGATTTTTGTCAGCAAGACTCAGAGGTTGGGGAGGAGAGATGGAACCATAGGCCACAGGCAGAATCTCTCCCATGTCCCCGTATGGGCTTGCTTTAGACATTCTTTGGAGTACTACATTTTGCAATCCTGAGATGTATTTACACCCAGGTCAGTTAAATAAGTGGGAAGCAGATGAACTCTTAGTAGATATAGTTGAAAGGAGGGGGAGGACCTTAGGAATGGACCTCAAACCAAAGGGAAGATCTATAAAAGAAAAACAGTCTCTTCCTTAATTCCAGTGGGTACCCAATAATTATATAGTGGGGTTGAAATTTGAAGAATTATAAGGTAAGGATAGGCTTCTAAGCTGGAGGACCAGTGTAGGCAAAGTCCTAGAGGAGATAAAGGGGAGACATGCAGGGTCCCAGGGAGAACCTGGGGTGCCCCAGGGCACAGGCTGGCTTCTAGTTCTGCTTTGTCTCTGGTTAATATTCACCTAACTTCTGTCAGGCCCTTTGTCACCTTGTTTATCTATCTTGGCCTCAGTGTTTCTCATCAGGGTGGCCCTGTTAGTCCTGCCCTGGCTCCATCTCAGTAAAAGCAAAAGTCAAAGTGGCTCATTCCTGGCTCCAGATCTTGTGACCTAACAAGCTTCAAAATGGGAGCTTCTGGAGCTGCAGGCAATGGGTGAGTTTCCACTGGGGCTGGGCTCCCAGATCATGAGGAGACATTCACTGGGGTATTACAGATGTGCAGTTTGCTTGGTAGTGAGGATGAGGAAGAGGAATACCTGATTTGAGGTTGTAGATGAGTGGTAATTTAGAGCTTGAACTCCTACCTGGCCAGCATGGCTCTGGTTGAGCATCAGCTTATGAACTGGAGGTCACTGCCTGGGTTGTGGGCTCATTTCCTAGTGTGGGGCTTACAATTCTCATCATTGATGTTTCCCTCTTTCTCTCCCTCTCTCTCAGAAATCAATTTTTTTGCCGAAACCGGTTCGGCTCAGTGGATAGAAAGGTCGCGGATTGAAAGGTCCCGGGTTCAATTCCGGTCAAGGACATGTACCTTGGTTGCGGGCACATCCCCAGTAGGGGGTGTGCAAGAGGCAGCTGATTGATGATATTTATCGATGTTTCTAACTCTCTATCCCTCCCTCTTCCTCTATAAAAAATCAATAAAATATATATTTTTTTAAATTCTATTTAAAAAAAAAATTTTTTTAAGAGCTTGCACTCCAAACTGGAATGCCAAGATTTGAACCCCAGTTTTAACACCAATTACATGATTTTGGGCAAGTGATTTAACCTCTGTGCCTCAACATTATCTGTGAAATGGACATCATAATAGTGCCTCTCTCATGTGACTTTTGTGAAGATACAGTGAATTAAATATGGCAGATGATATTATCCAACCCCAGGACCCTCTTGCCTACTTCAGTTCACTTATAGCTGCAAAAGGAGGCTTTCTACTTCCAGCCCTGAGTTCTGATATCTCTGCTGAGAGTTCTCTGGGAGTTATTGGAAGTGAGCTAATGCTCTCAGCCTAAAGTGGATATCAGTCGCCAAGACCGGTTTGGCTCAATGGATAGAGCGTCGGCTTGGGGACTGAAGGGTCCCAGGTTCCATTCCGGTCAAGGGCATGTACATTGGTTGTGGGCACATCCCCAGTAGGGGGTGTGCAGGAGGCAGCTGATCGATGACTCTCATCGATGTTTCTAACTCTATCTCCCTTCCTCTCTGTACAAAATCAGTAAAATATATATTTTTTAAAATAAAATAAAGTGGATATCAGTCACTGGATGAGTGCCCCAGACTTCCTGTTGTCTGGTCCTGAGATTGCAACAGCATTCTATAGGATCCTCATAAGAGCCATCCCCTCCACCTGTTTCCCACAGTGGGTACCACTCCGTAAGCATCTTTTCTGGCTTACACCCTACCTATCTCACCCCATTCCCTGCCTCCTGTGTCCTGGAATCAAGTCCTAAATAAAGCACCTTACCCAAGTCCTTGGATTTCTGTGCTGTGTGTAAAGCTCACAGTTGATACTCTGTGTCTGCTATGTTTTTTGTTGTTTTGTTATTCCTCACCTGAGGATAATTTTTCCCTTGAGTCCTAGCTGGTTTGGCTCTGTGGATAGAGTGTCGGCCTGCAAACTGAAAGGTCCAGGTTCAATTCTGGTCAGGGGTACATGCCCAGGTTGTGGGCTTGATCCCCAGTGGGGAACCTGCAGGAGGCAGCCAATTCATGATTTTCTCATCATGGATGTTTCTCTCTCTCCCTCTTCCTTTCTCTCTGAAATCAATAAAAATATTTTCCCCTTGGATAGAAATATAATTCCACCTGCTTTTAGTAAAAATCACCTGATATTTAGTAAAAGAAGAAATTAAAAATAAAAGAGACACAAAGAAACTTTAAAGGGTGATGACTATATTTACTAATTTGATCATACTCATGATTTCATGGATATTTTTCCCCTTGATATTTAGAGAGAGTGGAAGGGAGGGGGAGAGACAGAAACATCAATGTGAGAGAGAAACATTGATTGATTGCCTCCTGCATGGGCCCCATCTGTGGTGAGGTTCATGACCTTCAGTCTGCAAGCCACTGAGCAACTGATTAGGGCTGCTGCTGTTTTTTACTCTGCTGAGGCACAGGGTCAGTTTCTTAACCCCTTGACCCTATCTGTTAAAGAATCTCCTGTTCTAAGACTTTACAGCAATATTTTAAAATATTAAAATTAATTTCACCTGTTTTTACTGTTTGTGACTACTAGAAATTTTTAAATAATTTGGGATATGGATTGTATCAACTAGAACTGAATCACCCTGGCTGGTTTGGCTCAGTGGATAAGAGTGTCAGCCCACGGACTTAAGGGTCCCACATTCGATTCCAGTCAGAGATGTATCTCAGTTACAGGCTCAGTCCCCGTGCAACCTATGATGTGTCTCTCACATCAGTTTTTTTCCTCCCTCTCATTTCCTTCCACTCTCTTAAAAAAAAAAAAAAAATCAGTGGGAAAATATCCTCAGGTGAGGATTGAATTGAGTTGTTAAATTTTCCTATTTTGATGACTGTACGCTAATTGTGTATGAGAATACCTTTATTCTTAAGAACTGCACACTGAAGTATTCAGGAGCAAACAGTATCATGTCTACAACTTACTCTCAAATGGTTCCAAAATACAGGGTGTCCTCAAAAAAATGTATTCACATTTTAACAGCTGATTGCTCAGTTTTGAAAATGAAGTGTATTTTAATAAACACTGCCTTTATTCAAAGTGTGTATACATTTTTGGGGAAACCTTATATATGCACATATGTAAACATATTAGAGTGTGAATAGTGAAGTACATGGGGCAAAATGTTAACAGTTGGTTAATCTGAGTAAAGGATATATGGGAGTTTGTAGTACTAGTTTAAATAGCCCTGGCTGATGTTTCTTAATGGTTAGAGTATCAGCCTGGGCACCGAAGGGTCATGGTTTGATTCCCAGTCAAGGGCATGTACCTTGTTTGCAGGTTTATCCCTGGTGTCCTGTTGTTGGGGCAGGTGTAGGAGGCAAGCAATCGATGTGTCTCCCTCACATTGGTATTCTCTCCCCCTTTCCTCTCTCCTTCCACTCTCTCTAAAAATAAATGGAAAAATATCCTTGGGTGAGGATAAATAATAAAGATATGTATTTTTTACCTTTGAAAAAATAATGTTTGGTTTCCCTGGCAGATTCTGATCTTTATCCTATTGGGAATGACAAGTTACTAGAATATGTTGTTGTCTTAGGTCACAAACTGCTATTCCTAGGGTCCACGCCAGATGCATGAGGCGATTCAGGGGAGGGGTGGGGACTTGGGGAATTCTGGGAACTCACAGTTCCTAAAGAAGAAAGTTCCTACCACTCCATGCTCAGTACCCTCTCAAACAATGACATCCACGATGTTAATGATGTGAAGGAATGACTAGAATTTTCTTTAGGGTAATAAAAGAATTGTGACTAAATTTTAAAATAGAATCCTCACCTGGAGACACTTCCTGAATTGTTGGTAAAAGGATATGCTGAGTAGACTTGAGAAGAATTAGGAAAGGAGAGTGGGCACCTGGGAGGATTAAAGGGAGTGACCCTGAGTTGGTAATTACAGCTGGTGAAGAGTCCACAAGGACCTGTAATGCTGTTCCTTATTGTTTTGTACAAGTTCAAAAAGTACCAGAATGAAAGTTGAAAAAAACGAAACAAATTCACTCGGACTGGAAGTCCTCACTGTGGTCCACAAGGCTTCAGCTGATCTGGCCCCATAACCTCTCTCTCACCTTCTCCCACTCTCCCGCTCCAGCACCGCTCCAGCACTCACACTCCAGCCACACTAGCTTTCCCAGGTGCCAAGCACACTCCTACCTCTGGGCCTTTGCACTTACTGTTTTCTTAACCTGGAATGCACTTCCTCTAGGTTTGCACTGCCCAGGATGGTAGCTGAGAGATACTGTGACTGAGGAATTTTTCAAATTTTTAAATAAATTTTAAGTAATTTAAAATTTAAAAGAGATGCCGTGCAAAAGATTCCTCTTTGGGTAGGACTACATTTTATTTAATCTGTTGGAAATTAAGTGTCTGAATTGAGATGTGCTATAAAGAGTGAGATACACATCAGATTTCAAAGATAGTAAGAAAAAAGGATTATAAATCCTCATGTATTTTTATATTCATTATACATTAATGTTTTGTATATATTGGGTTAAAATATAAATTATTAAAATTATTTTTCACCTGTTTCTATTGTTTAATAGGTACTAGAAAATTTTAAATTATATTTATGCCTCATATTTCTACAAGAAATTCGTACACTCTTGAGGGGGGAGGTCCCCTCAACCCAGCCTGCACCCTTTCACAGTCCCTAACTTTCAGTTACCCACAAAAACAAATTCCCATTTCTGTTTAAATCAGTGGTGATTGGGGTTCAGTCCCGAGCTCCCTGTGTGTCCTCGGTGACTTCTCCATTCTGTTAAGTGGGGACATATCATTGGCTATGAAAATTAAAGAAGAGATCTTTCTTAAATGCACATCCAGGACTCTAGCACAAGACTCTGTTCTTGAGTCTGATTCTTTTATTTTATTGATTTTTACAGAGAGGAAGGGAAAGAGATCGATAGAAACACTGATGAGAAACATTGATCAGCTGCCTCCTGCACACTCCCTACCAGGGATGTGCCTGCAACCAAGATACATGCATGCCCTTGACCGGAATCGAACCTGGGACCTTGAGTGCGCAGGCCAATGCTCCATCCACTAAGCCAAACCAGTTAGGGCTTGAGTCTGATTCTATTCCACCTCTTGTCCCAACACTTTAAGCTCTGGGAAGTGGTTGATCTTAAACACCTGGCGCTGGGTACTGGACTCCAGGACTGAATCCTGGAAACTCCACTTGATTGCTTCATGACCTATGGAAGAATTTCACACCTTGCACCACTGATGGCCCAGCCTGTGAGCCCACCATGTAGGCTGAACAGAACACATGTATAAATGAGGTGTACCCCGCTTATACCACCTGTGCCTTTTCTGTACACACCTCTAGCTTCCTATGGAAAGCACCTGTGCTGCTCTGCCTGAGGGATCTTTAAAAGCAGGAGAAGCTGGAAGTTCTGGGGAGTTGACAGTTTCAGGAACCAATGAGAGCTGTTTATATAAATGCCAATTTCTTAAACTCTTGGGTGGAATAACTTTGAATGTGTTCCACACAGTCTCCTACAGGTCGCTAGTGGGATGGCACCCAGGTTCCCAAAGCAGCAACCAGCTCAGTGCTCCCTCCCTGGCTCACTTCCTCAGACCCCTACCAATCTGCCTAGGAACCTCCTAAAAAAAACTGTGCTTGCATCTTTGTCTCAGAGTCTAATGGGCTGATTCAGTTCTGCATCCTGTTCTCAAGGCAAAAGAATCTGTGGAGAGGGCTGTCCACATATATCAGGGCTGTATCCTAGATTCTGAGTACGCAAGTACCAGTATCTACACATTCTGCAATAGACTGATGTTTGTATCCTTTAAATATGTATGTGGAAATCCTAACCTGCTATGTGACTGTTAGGAGGTAAGGCCTTTGGGGGTGGTTAGGTCTGAGGGTACAGCCTCGTGGGAAGGATTACTGATCTTAATCTCTGAAACCCCCAAGAGCTCCCTGCTCCTTCTGCCATGTGAGGACACAGCAAGAAGACAGCCATCTATGAACCAGGAAGTAGGTCCTCACCAGATACTGAATCTGTCATTGCCTTGATCTTGTACTTTTCAGCCTGCAGAACTGTGAGAAATAAATTTCTATTGTTTATAAGCCATGCAGTCTATGTTATTTTGTTACAGCAGCTCAAATGGACTAAAGCACATCCTTAGACAAGTGACCATTTATTACATATGTCTGGGCTATGTACTCAGATTGGGGGGAGACCATTGACATAGTTGAGCACCAAGTAAGGTGTCCTGGCCAGTGGGGCAGGAGAACAGCAGGGGCCCCCTGACTGGGACAGGAGCAATGTGAAACCCACCAAGAGAAGGAAGAGAAGAAGGAAGGTCAGGGGCCGCCTGGATGCCGTAGTGGGGGCTCTGTAAAGGAAAATGCAGTGTTAAATATATACAGTGGGCTGCCATCATGAGCCCTGTCTCCCTACACCCCCAGGCCCATTTCCCAGGCATCTCACCCAGGATCTACCTCCAGCATCACATCCTGGAGACTGGAAGATGCTTGAGTCTTCTTGTCCTAAGGGTAGATAGTAACCAGAAGCAGGATACATGGAAGGGACACTTAGTGTGGACTTTCCCTTACTACCATAGACTTTCAGGGCTGAGCTTATTTCTCCTCCTTTCCTGGAATCCCCCTTCTTCCCCAGGGCCCCTCATGGGCTTGGAATATCTCTAAGTATAATGGATGTCTATCTGTGGCTATCCTCCAACCAATTCCCTTTTTTCTGGTAACAGGGGCTCAATTTGGGGGGTGTCACATTTCCCCACTTTCCTAATAGTACACCTCTACTTCCATGACTAGACATATGACCCAGATATGGCCTATCAGAGCCTTCCATCAGGTTGGTCACTGTAATTGGTTCAGGTCCCAAGGGGAGTGAAATTAGCCTTGGTCCATGGTATTCTTCTCTTGGGTGGGTAACCAGTAGAAAGTATGTAGCTACTGGGGCAGCCACTTTTCTGAGAAGGAATCCACCTTGGGGAAATAGAGTTTCAAGAGCAAGGATCTGAGCCCTGATAGCATTAACGATCCTGAATTCAATAGTACCTGGACTTTTCGGTTATATGAAAAAATAGCATCCCCTCTTTTGTGTAATTCAATTTTGGTCACTTGCACAAATTGATATACCTAACTGAGGACCAACTGACCTGAGACTTCTGGAGCAGGGCGAGTCTTTGGTGACCTACTAAGTGTTTCTGGTGGCTGAGACCCAACGTGAATATGTCCTGTAGAGAGAGAGAGTTGTGGGGTCCTGGGACAACCAGTGACAGAGAAGCACAAGATGGGGAAGGGCAAAGATAGGGGTGTCACAGAGATGTGATGCCGGGGGAAGAGAAGGATCTTGGGAAGACACAAAGAGAGGGGCAGAGCCAAAGAACCTGAGAGGAGAAACATTATTCATTCATTCACTCAACTAATATTTAATGAGTGTCTATTACATGCCATGCAGTGTTCAAGGAGCTGGGGACACAGTGGCAATGGAAACAGGCAAAGTCTATATAATGTCAAGATGTGCTAAGTGCCATTAGAAAATAAAGTAAGAGGGTTAGGATAATGTTTGGAGGCCAGTTCAGGCCTCTCTGAAGAAGTGACACTTTACAGGAGCCTGGAATGAAGGTAGGAAGCAAGCTGGACATGCATCTTGGGGCTTTGAAATGGGAGTGAATTTGGAATGTTTAAAGAAGAGTCAAGAAGCTAGTGTGGCTGTAGCAGATTGAGCAAGGGGTGGGGGGGGGAGTGAGAGGAAACAAGGAAATGTACATATAGATAGATGAGAAAGAAATACAGAAAGAATAAGATAGAGGAAGATAAAGAAATCAAGAGACAGAGGGAATGAGAAAAGCACTGACTCACCAAGAGGGAAAGGGAGAGGCAGAGGGAGAGACAGAACCACCAAGATCGCCTTGAAAGGAAAAGACCCTGCTAGGAGATGCACAGAGGTGTCCTGTGGGTGCCCGGGTGGGGATGTCCCCCACCTGCTCTCACCTCAAGGCCTTGTCCCCTGCTCTGGGGGCCCCTGTGGCCACACAGCTCACAGGGAGCCCCTGGTGTCCAGGCTGTCTTTTGCCCCAAGGGTCCGAAGCCCCCAATGTCCCCTGCCGGGTCCCACTCTAACTCTGCAGGAGTGGGGAGGCTACTGGGTTCCCAGGACCCCCAGATCCCACCAGGTCCGGGACAGTCTGAATCCGCCTCAGTCTCCAAATCCTGTTCCAGTGTGTTGGCCTCCTTGAATACCTGGTCAGAGGATAGAGGTCATGGGGGGTTGTGAAATTGGCACCAGTGCTAGGGATCACCAGTTTGGGCCATACCAGGCTGTAGCTGACCAGCTGGGCCTGCAACCGCCACAACCGCCAGAAGATGCTGTCTCGGTGGGCTCCAAGGGCCCTTAGGACCTGCTGCAGGGATGCCCAAGCCTGAGGCTCACTCCGCTGCGCCAGCCCCTCACTGAACGTCAGAAGTGCATCTACACGCTCAGCTGTCCCACGTAGGTCTGCCTGTAGGGTCTGGGAACACATGATTGGACACCACCACTATCCCCACACACACCAGGGAACCAGAAACCTAGGACCTGGAATTACATGGCCCCTTTCCTACCCAGATACCTAGAACATTGAGTAAACCCATTTTTCACCCAAAGGAGCTGGTATCCCTCCTGAGGCTCTGCCCCCCTTCCCACACCCTGGCCTCCCATTGCCCACCTGCAGCTGGACCATCCCATTCTGGGCCAATGTCCAGGGCCCCAGGCCTCGCTCTAGGTCCTGCAGCCGGCGACCCAGGCCCAATAGGCAAAGGTGCAGGCGATCCTGCTCAGCCTCCAATACCTCCCAGCCAGAGAGAGGGCTCTGGGAAACACAAAGGGCTGAGTCAGTGCCAATGGGCCAACGAAGACCTTGTTCCCACTCTCATTGCCATCCCTCTTTTGCGGACTCCTGCTTTCTGGATGCTTCTCTGAAGCAGAGTCTATCTCTGGCTCTGCACCTCAGGTCCTTCCCAGTGGAAGGCCTGGGGACCTCTAATTCAAAGTCTCAAGGTTTTCAAAGCTCCTAAAAACTTGGGACATGCAGGACATGGAGGTCTGAGGATCACTCTGCTGTGCCAGCCCCTCACTGAACACCACCAGTGCATCTACTGGGAGGGGGTGATGGAGCTGGATACCCCTACAAGGAATGAGGCTGCACCACGGCCAATCATGAAATAATTCTCTCAGTTTGAAATACTTCTATAATGATTGACAAAGAATCATTTATAGTGTCCCTCCTGCCACAGATGCCCAACACTTTTCCTGAATCATCAATTCATCCCCAGTGTGGAGGCCAGATTCTAGGGGAAAGAGAGGAGTGGGGCACAAGGGGCCTGGGTTACCTCAGCTCACCTCACGGTGTTTGCCCCCAATGGAGTCCTCATGGGAATAAGGCATTGGCAATCTGGGGTGACCAGATGTAGGCTCAGTGTTCTTCAGCCCACCCTGTAAGTGCTCAGAAGGGCACAAAGAGTCCTGCCCCGGTGTCTGGGCTTGTTCTGGCCTGAGAGGTAGGAGGCATTGGCAGACCTTGGGTGAACCTAGGTGCCCATTATCCACTCTAGCCTACCCATCCCAGCTTCCTCTCCCACATCCCCAGGTGATCATAGCCACAGTATCTCTTACCCTCAAAGTGCCCGTTACTGCCGTCACCCCTTTAGGACCCAAGTTCCAAAAGCCCCATCTCCTACCTGATTCTTTCCTCTTCAGAAGGGCAGACGGTGCATTCAGCAATGTCCAATTTCCTAGGGGCTCCAGGGGGATGACTGAGGGGCTCTGAGCGGGGTCCAGGGTCCAGAGATGGGGGGAGGGCCATAGCTGGGGGCCTGGGGATAGTCAGTGAGAATACTTTGGTCCCAGCTCTAGCCCCTTGGAGATCCCAGCTGCAGCCTAGTTCCTCTCTTTCTGGAGGGACTGCTGACCCTACCCTCACCCTATTCCCTGTAGTCCTGACTCTGGGACCCGCTGAGGGGCACACTTGTCCCTCAGTCTTTGTCTCTAGGGACACACTGATCCTTGCTCCCTGACTCCCAAAATCAGCTAATTTCAAGGTATCCAGCCTTTTCCTAGACAATGGTGTCCCCTCTGACATCCACAGGACTCACCCAGGCCCCAGGCAGAAGGAGGCCCAGGAGCAGGCTCAGCTTTACCTCCTTTTAAGTGAAACCTGGGCCCAGGTAACTTGATGCCAGCTCAGGTGACAGTGGCACTACTTTAACTCCCTAGCAAACAAGTAACTGAACTTCCTAAGCTCACCCCAAACCACCCAATGGGGTATAATCCTGCCCCCTCAAGAGTCCTGGATTCTGCACAGCTCATCTGAACCATTCTTCTGACCCCCAGAACCCACACCATTTAGGGTCTCAGACTCAGCACCCCTCAAGAACACAAGCATCTGTCCTCTCACCCCCAATCTAAAACCAAAGAAAGATTTTTGTTGGTTTATTTGAAATGAAGCCTTTTTCTGTGGTTCCCATGAAGTTATAGGGAAAATGACTCAGGGGAGCCCCAGGGCTTCAAGGCTACAGGGTTGCAGCTGTCCAGGACTTGATAGTCTGGGAAGCCCAGCAGGTCCTGGGGCCAGGCATCACTTGCTAAGGAGCAGTCCAGTCCTTAGCACACGGGGCACCCGGCGGATGGTCAGCGAGACGCGGGTGTCACGGACTAGGTGGGCTCCAGGTCTTGCCGCTGGGCAGGCAGCAGCATTGAGCGGTAGGGAGGCGGTGTCAAGTGGATCTACACAGGCCGCTGCGATGCCGTGGAGGAGGCGTGTGTAGGCAATATCACGAAGTACCAGGAGGCTGCGGGGTTCCAGCAATAGCGAAGTGACCGGCCGGGGCGGGGGGCGGGGCTATAAGGAATATAAATGGTCAGTGGGTCCCCAAAAATAGGAGGGTGAGAGAAGTTAGCAGACTTCGAGAGTCGGGGAGCGAGGGTCAGTGTGTCCCTAAAGACAAAGACTGAGGGGCAAGTATGCCCCTCACTTTGGACTGAAAATCAGCGGGTCCGAGAGTCAGGGCTACAGGAAACAGGGTGAGGGTAGTGTCAGCAGTCCCTCCAGAAAGGGAGGAACTAGGCTGCAGCTGGGATCTCCAAGGGGCTGAGGCTGGGACCAAGGTATCAGTGGTCACAGGGAACTGGGGAGAACTAGGTTGGGGGCTTGACAGAAGTCAGGAGTTGGGGTGGGCAGGAAGGGGGTGGCAGAATGAGGCAGAGATGATCTGATATAGTCTGGGTGCATCTGCAGACATCAGGATTTTTGAGGTAACTGGCATGATAGGCAGGATATGAGGGTAACCAGGAGCATGCAGCATTAAAAAAGGACCTAAGAAACAGCTGGGTCAGGATGTCCAAGGGTTTCTGTGAGCACTGTAGAGTCAGAAATGCATCACTCAGAGAGAGGTCTGGGAAGCTGCTGTCATGAGCAGCCCTAGGAGGACAGTCAGGCTATCCTAGGAGTCTTTGAGCAAGCCAAGTGCCAACGTGTGCCCTGACAGATCACATAATGTGGTGACAGGCAGGAGGTCAGTGTTGGGGTGCTCTGTACAGTAGGCAGAGAAATAGGGTATCTGGAAGGGTATCAAGGACACTCACAAATGAATGGTGTTGGAGTATCTGAAGATATCAGTGTCTGCTGGAGTATTGGGAAACCCTGCATGAGTTATTGGAGCACTCTGAACGTGTGGGCTAAGGGATCTTTAGGGTGTCAGGACATTCCAATCAGCAGGTAGGGGTATTGGAGGATCTGTGGATACCAAGCTTTCTAGGGCACCCTGCAAGCAGATGGGTTCAGTGTCTGGGAAGACATGGTTGTATTCTATGAGGAGCAGGGGAAGGTTTCTGGGAGGTTATCACAGGTATTTTGCAGGCAGACGGGATTGGGGCTTCTTAGAGGATGTGGATGTGAGAGTGCCCACAAATAACTGGGGCAGTATCCCAGGGCCCACCTGCTCTGTAGGGTCATCATCCTTTGGCTGCCGCGGCTCGTAGAGATCCAGCATGGTGTGAGAGCCCAGGCTGATGGTGCTGACGGTCGGGTAGTACAGTGGCCCGTCCCTGTGGGGCTGGGGAGTTGGCACCAGGGCTGGACAGGGCAGGAGTCCACACCCCCCACCCTCCAAGATTCAAGGTGGTCTCCCACCTGGGGACAGGGAGATGAATGCCTGGTGGGGTATGAAGCAATGGCCTGCCCCATGATGGATCAGAGGTCTGGGGATTGGGGTAAGGATGTGTAGTTACCATGATGCCCTCCCCAGGCAGATACTGGTTCACAAGAACATGGTTGGCTGGGAGACCCCCAAAAAGATTGAGGTCAGATACTTTGTCCACGTAGCGCTGAAGCCACAGAGGAAGCCGCTCAGGAACCATCCCTCGGGGATGTGGGAGCCCACCTGGAGGAGGGCAATGGAGTCCTGACAGCACCTAATCAAGGAACCCTCACACCTCGAGCCCTCATTAATGATATCACCAGGTTTGGTAGCATACTGACCTTCTCAGGGATGCCTGATTCTTTGGAGATCACCACCCAACCCTCCAAAGGTTTCCTAATGCCTCAAAGGTTTCCTGGAACCTTTGAGACTCCCAACTTATAAGGAAATTCCTAATCCCATAGGACCTCTGCTGACACTTCTGAATCCTCTGGCCCTTGGGATCCCTTGAACCCTCAAGGGCTCCCCAATATCTTAAGACTAACCAACCTGAAGCACCTGCCCTAACCCACATCCTTAAGCCACCCATACCCCCAGGCAGGAACACTCACCCCAATTCTGTAACTTCCTCCCCGAGAGCTGAGTCCACTTTGGCTTTGGGGCATTGTAGACCTAGGAAGTGGGGAGGTGGTTACTCATTTTTTAGGACTGTTCTCTCTGATTCTCCCACCCAGGCCAATACCTGGGGTGGAAATGGGTTCTCTCAGTATCTGTGGAAATGGTTTTCTGAGATGTTCTCAAGATTTTAATGTTTGCTCTTTCCCCTATGGCAGCTGCTGCTAGCCCCAAAGCCCACCCTATGTCTATTGGGATCGAGAAAATGAACCAGGGCTACACAACTGCGCTCTGAATCTACTTAGAACTCTGGCCTGTACTGGGCTCTTTTAGCCCAGTAAATAGTCTGCACCCTGTAATTTCCTGGGCTATCTCAGAATAGTCTAACTTCTGGGACCTCCCTGTTTCTATCACCTGAGGGTTGGGGGGAGAGGGGGGGTTGGGGAAGACGTGCTACACTAGGCTATCTCAGCATAGCAAAGAGAGTACTTTGAAAAGTCTCCACTGCCAAGATACCAAAGTTCTAGAATGGGCCATCTTCAAGAAGTCTATACTCAATAATTTCCTTGTTCCCTTTATGGTTATGGGGCTGGAATGGGCTATCTCATCACAAGAGTCTGTGCTCTGTGGCTAACTTTTTCCTGGGACTCAACCTAGATAAGACTAGTTGGAATAGCACAAGAAAGAACTGTGCTATATTAGTGTGCACATGCACACTCTATTATTAAGGCCAATAAGGATTATCCCAGTGCAAGGACTGACCTTTGTAGTCTATTTCCCCAAACCTTAAATAGAATACAGACTAGATTATCTCAGCACAGTGGTCTGTGTTTAGAAATCTTGTTCCCAAGAATCTAGGTCTAAGCTGAGCTATTTAAGCAGAGGAAAGAATATACTCTGTAACATTGTGAGGCCTGGGCTACCTCAGCACTGGAAATCCTTCATTCCCCAAACATCAAAGGCCTGAACTGGGCTATCTCAGCCTATATTTATAATCTCCTTTTCTCTAAAATAGCAAGATTGGGCTCTGTCAGCACAGAGAATATGGGCTCTGTAATGTCCTTATTTCTGAGGCTTTGGGCTTGTACCAGCCTATCCCAGCACAAGGAATCTGATCTCAATAACATCTTTGTTTTGAAAGCTGGACTGGCCTATCTCAGCACAGGAAGTCTGAGCTCCATAATGATCACTTTATTTCTAAGAATCAGTTTGGTTTCCCCTATCTTCCTGGGAAAAGCTCTTTCTGACAGGTTCAGTAAGTCCCGAGAGTGAGGGATGGGTACCATGTGGCACTCTTTTCATGCCAGAATCTCCATTATAGCCTCAGGGCTCTCAAGCAGGAACCAGGGTTTGGGAAAAGATCTGGAAAGATGGGAAAAACAGACCAGAAGGGCAATGAGATCACCTGTCGAAGCAAATACTCTTCCTCTTCCTTGGAGATGAAGTCAGGGACATAGTAGATTACAGGTGGTGCCTAGGATGGAGAGATCCCTCTTGAAACTGGTGCCCTTTGATCTACATGGGGACCCTAGCAATGATAAGCAGCCCCCACCCTCTATAGTGAGGCCCAGGATGTCCTCAAACAGGCCAGGGCCTGAAGTTGAGGGACCAATGTCCATCTGGGGGACAGAAAGTGGAAGTGAGATAGGGGAAGAATGAATCTGGAGGGGGCTGTCCCAGCTCACAAACCCAGGAGTCAGCCTGCTTTATCACCACTCTATCTTCCACCCTCAGTCCTCCCACCTTCACCCTCTGCACCCCCAGTCCTGACAACCTGCTCCACCCTGAATGGTTCCAGGGCTGGGATCCTGGAGTCCTGATCCTCCGACACCAACTCCATGCACCCGATCCTGTGAGAAGGGGAGAATATGCTCAAGTCATCAAGCCTCCTACCCTCAGGCTCTATCATGGGTCAGGGTCTCAGCTCAGCGCTCTAACCAAGCTCACTGGGTTTCTAAAACCTGCATCCTCAGCCTCTCAAAAGCCACCCAGTCAGTCCCCAGGGTCTTTGCCTGGACACAGTAAGCATCCAGAACATCCAAATTCCATCTACGAAGAGCCTGTCAAACTACACATATTTGTTCTTTCAAGAGAGAGCATTCTCTCCCAGAGAACATCCTGACCCCACTGGAAGCCTTTCTCAAGAGCTTCACAGCCTCTAGGGCTGCACCCCAGAACCCTTTTAAACATCTTAACTTGAGACCCCTTTCTAACAACCAGATTTGCAACCCTGAGCCTCGCTCTCTAACAACATTCAGGGTCCCTATGAATTCCTCCTGCCACAAGCCCTTTTAGATGCCACATTCTGAACGCCCTGTACCCTCAAACCGAATCTCCTCTGACACATCCATGCGGTCTCCTTGGATTCCACCACTCTGGACTCCCTCAGATTTCCCTTCCCGCGCACCCCTTCACTGCAGCGCTCTTGAACCTAAAGCCCTGAGCCTGACTCCTCGCAAGCCTTCTTTCTTCCCAGCATCCCTGAGCGGCCCGCCCCCGCGCCCCCTTCACTCACACACACACACACACACACACACACACTCTCTCTCTCTCTCTCTCTCACATACACACACTCACATACACACACACTCTCACATACACTCTCACACACATTCTCTCACACACACACTCACACACAAACACAAACATATACACACACACACTCACACATTCACATACACACTCTCTCACACACACAGTCACACACACACTCTCACACACACTCACACACACACATACTCTCACACACTCACACACACACACTCACACACACACTCTCTCACACATACACACACTCACACACACACACTCACATACATACTCTCACACACACACAATCTCACACACACACACTCACATACACACTCTCTCACACACACACACTTTCACACACACACACTCACATACACTCTCTCACACACACACACTCACACACACACTCACACACACACACTTACACACACACTCTCTCACACACACACTCACACACACACTTACACACACACTCTCTCACACACACACACTCACACACACACACTTACACACTCTCTCACACACACTCACACACACACACACACACTCTCTCACACACACACACACACTCTCACACACACACACTCTCACACACACACTCACACACACACACACTCTCACATACACACACACACACTCACACACACATTCACACACACACTCTCTCACACACACAGTCACACACACACTCACACACACACTCACACACACACACACACACACACTCTCTCTCTCACACACACACACACACACACACACACACTCTGACACACACACTTCGGACTCCTATGTGAGCTTCCCGGCCTCCACCCTCAGCTCCCTCGGAGCCCTCTTCACGCCCTCCGCCACCCGCAAAACTGACCGTCCACCAACGTCCCCAATATCCAAATTCAACACGCTTTTCCTTTCCCAGCCATTTCCGCCCCCTCATTTCCGACGCAGAGTCCTGAGGCCAATGGGGACTCTCCCAGGCCTTCAAGGTCCGCCTTCCACCCAATTGGCGCTCTCGCCCAATGTGGTCCCGCCCCGTCACTCTCGTCCAGTGATAGGCTGCGCCGCCCGGCGCTGCGGTTACCCGTCTTCGTCTGGCACCGACCAATCAGCTCCAGAACCGAACCTGCCCACACTGCGGAGTGGGCCCGTGGGAGGGCCAGCCAGGGCGACCGCAGAAGAAGAAAGGGCTGGCAGGACTCCCCGCAGTCCAGGTCGTCCTGTGCCCAGGCTGCCTGCGGGAGGCGAGATCGAAGACTGGATTTCCTCTCTCTTCCTCCCCGGCAGCGGTGCAGGGTTAGGGCTGTAATCCCCAAACTCAGGTCCGACACAGAGAAGCCATAGAAACGTCTTTATTGAAGGGGGCGGAGGGGTCATGCTGAGTTCTGGGACATGCAGTTAAGGGGTAGTTTGAGCTGTCCTTGGTAGTATGGCCCCCAGGTCTGTCCTGGACTCTCTGAGCTCTCAGGGTCTCCTTCACGCTGTTAATCTGGCCTGGGTGCTGTGAGGTCGTTTGGGTCAGTGACTCAGATTTGGTGTTTTGGACCTATGACCAGAAGGTGGGTTGAAATGGGGGCTCCAGGATTTGGGATCCCCTCAAGGCCTTGGGGTGCCCTTCATGTATGAGATGGAGGCTTTAGGATTTGGGGTTCTTTGGGGCTGGGACTCTTGGGATTCGGGTGTCTTGAGATCTATGACTCAGGGCATTGAAGTCCTCTAGTTTTCAAGGATAAGCGTTCCTATTTGGGATCTCCTGATGCCTATGAATAGAGCTTAAGGTGCCATGGTAGCCTGGGATACATGTCCTGACTGTAGTCTCCTTCATTCCAGGCACAAGGACTTCCATGATTAGGGTTTCCTGGGAGCTTGGGATTGGATTTTTACATTTAGGACTCCCTAGGAATTTGGGGATCCCATGATTTGGGGGTCCTGGAAACTAGGGCTTAGGGTTATTCTAGAGGCTGTAGGATTTGGGAGCACAGGAAAATTTAGGATCCCCAGTCTCAAAATAGGGGCTCCAAATTTTTGGGTCCCCCAAAAGGGAAAGTCATTACTTTAAAAATAGAGAATTTTCTGGGAATCTGGCCTTCATACATGTTGGGTGGCTATGGGCCATGTTGGGTGGGCTTCATACAAGGCACTGGGGCCATGTTGGGTGGGCTTCATACAAGGCACTGGGGGATTCTTGAGGGTGAAGAGGATAGGAACACTTAGGGGTTCTGTAATTCGTAGTTCCAGGACTATTGTGGTAACTGTAAATTGGAGATGTCAGTGGCCTGGTTAATGTGTCTCTTCTTCAGGGGTAAGAGCAGGGGTCTTTGTAAATGGAGGGAGGTCTCTGATTGCAGTATAAGAGTTTTGGGGTAACTTTAGGTAATTACATCTTGAGGGGACTGATGTTAAATGTAGTATAGTGACAAAGGTTTGTAACTGCAGCTCTGGAGGCATGACTTGTGTTTATTTCAAGGGGACTTGATGGGGTCTTTTTTAATGGGGAAGGTTCTTGGATGAGTGACTGAGGAATGTTCTGTTGTGGAGCATTATGTGGAGAAGGTCACCATTTGGGGTGGTGTGGACATCTGTTATTGGGAGTCCTGCTCTGAGTGGTTAAGGATAGGGACTAGCCTGAAGGAGCTACACTCAGGAAATCTTTCTGGGTAACATGGGATCTGTATTTGGGCATTTATCATGGGGGAATCTGTTAATGATAGAGCCTCAGTGATTAATAAGGGTTGGCTAATGGGGATCTCTATTCTGGATGTGTTACTAAGAATATCTATCTCAGGGTGACTTGGGGGCTCCTTGGGTCAGGAGATGCTAGAGGGGCTGTCTCTTTGTTAGATGTCCAGGGTCTCTAGGACTGCATCTCCGCCCTCAGCATCCAAGGAAACCAGCAGCAGAAGAGCAATCTGGAAAGGAGAACCATGTCACTCCATAATGCAGGGATGGGAACATCTGGATCTATCTCCCTCAGCTCTTCCCCAAATGTTTGGCCTTGCTGGATTCTGCCTCTACCTGTTTGGCTGTGCCTTCCCAGGCTCCTATGGAGGGTGTTCTGCCTCCCCTAAGTGCCCCTTAAAAATTGAAGTCTAATCAAAACCGGTTTGGCTCAGTGGATAGAGTGTCAGCCTGGGGCTGAAAGATCCCAGGTTCGATTCCGGTCAAGGGCATGTACCTTGGTTGCAGACACATCCCCAGTATGGGGTGTGCAGGAGGCAGCTGATCGATGTTTCTCTCTCATTGATGTTTCTAGCTTTCTATCCCTCTCCCTTCCTCTCTGTAAAAAATCAATAATATATATATATATTTTTTTTAAATTGAAGTCTCCAGAATTTAGTGCAGGGCCTCACTCCCTAAAGACTTTTCTTGGTAAGCTGACTAGTCACAAGTTTTCCTAACCTCTATTTCTGGCCCCAACCAGAGCCCCAGACCCCTGTGTCCAATGGCCTGGCTACGCACCTGGAGATTGAGTTCTCTGATGCAATGTCCTTTGGAGTCCGGACTGTTGTAAAGGTGCGTTTGGGCTGCGTCACTGAAAGGGAGGGCAAGGTCTCAGGGGAGGGGATGATAGACCCACTTGTGCCCTCAATACCTACCCAGACTCCTGGACCCCACATTCCCAATATCCATCTGAACCTTTTTTTGTCAGTAATCTGTCCTCCAATATCTACCCATGTCTTGGGTGCCTGCCCAGAGCTTGTTTTCAACATCCTCATATCCCATAGCACCTATCTTCTTGGGGTTCCTGTTTCATCATTTTCCTGGACTTTGTGTTCACAGTTTAATACTGAAGATTCTGTAAACTTCCTCCTGTCCCCAAACCCTCCTCCCCACACTCCAGCACCCAACTCACTTGTCACTTGATGTACTTTTTTAGCTCCGACATTGTCCCCAGAGGGGTCAGTGGATCCACCAATCCTAGGAGACATGAAGAGTGGGAGGAGTCAGAGCCTCAGAAGCCAGGGTCTGACCCGGAGATGGGTCGGGGGGCCTATGCGGAAAGAGCTTGGGTGTGGGCATGGATAGCCACACTGTCTTGCTAGTCCAAGAGGAGGAGACACCTGAAGAGGGAATCACCTCTGAATTCGGGATGCTGGTGCAAAGACTCCATGCTTTGGGGGGCAGGTGAAGTATCCGACACCAAAGACGGAGCCATCATGCTTGCCCGTGGGCTGGTCTAACTCAATTCCATACCAGTAACCTGAAACAGAAGAGTGTCAGACCTTGAGGCCCTGCATGCCTGCCTCACAGCCCAGATCCCTTTACTCACCTGGGGCAAAGTCTGTCTTCCCATAGAAGCGCACAACCCCTTGCTTC